GACCTTCTGGAGAGCAGCTCTGTGGAGAAAGACCTGGGTGTCATGGTGGATGATAAGTTGACCATGAGGCAGCAGTGTGCCCTCGTGGCCAAGAAGGCCAATGGGATCCTGGGCTGCATTAAGAAGAGCATCTCTAGCAGGTCGAGGGAGGTGATCCTGCCCCTCTACTCAGCCCTGGTGAGGCCGCATCTGGAGTACTGTGTCCAGTTCTTGGCTCCACAGTACAAGAGGGATGTGGAGCTGCTCAAAGAGTCCAGCACAGGGCTACAGGGATGATCAGGGGCCTGGAACATCTGCCCTATGAGGAGAGGCTGAGTGAGCTGGGCCTGTTCAGCCTGGAGAAGAGAAGGCTGAGAGGGGATCTAATCAGTGTATATAAATACCTCAAGGGAGGGAGTGCAGAGGACGGGGATGGTCTCTTTTCAGTGGTGGCCACTGATAGGACTAGAGGAAATGGCCGGAAACTGAAACATCAAAAATTCCGTAGGAACTTAAGGAAAAATTTCTTAACAGTGAGGGTGACAGAGCTCTGGAACAGGCTGCCCAGAGAGGTTGTGGAGTCTCCTTCTCTGGAGATCTTCAAAACCCGCTTGGATGCAGTCCTGTGCCACGTGCTTTAGGTGTCCCTGCGTATGCAGGGGGGTTGGACTTGATGATCTCTAGAGGTCCCTTCCAACCCTAAGCATTCTATGATTCTATGATTCTATATATATGTATGATTTACAGGAGGGTTCCTCTTGTGTTTGTTGGCTGAAATCCTAATCACTTCTTTTCTGAAGTCAAGAAAAAAGATAACTAGCTGATCTGGAAGTAGGGTAGGTGTAACTCAAACACAGTTAAGCATGTAGGGTCACTGAGCACGGCAAGGTTACACACCTCAGTGATGAACGGAGTACCGAGAAAAATGCTTGCCAGGAGCAAAATTACAATTTACTCCTTCATTCCTCTTGGGTGGGAAAGAATAGCTCTATGGTGACTTATGTAACAGCCAAATGGCTGAAGCACTCAGCTAGGTCCAGTTCAAAGCCCACTTTCAACACCAAGCACTTGGCTTGGTCCAGCTGGCTGATGACATTGCCACTTCTCTCTCAAAACTGAACAGCACATGAGCTTCCTGCTAAGGAAAGAAATCACAAAAGTGTGATGGGTGGATATATTTTCTTAGAGAGTTGGGATCATGAGAGAGCACATATGAGATTATATTTCCTAGCTGGATTTTGTGAATTCATTAAAAATGGTCTTTGGTCACCTCTGAGTCCATAGCCACTGAGTGGGTTCCACTGGCTTGAGAAATTCAGGATAATACAAAAGTTAAGGCTGCCTAAATTAAGGGTGCAGAAAATTTATGTTGCTGCTTCCCTTTTCCTGTTTTGTTTTAGGGGACAATTGATGATGAAACAATATATTCTAAAACTGTCTGGAAGGAGGCTATAGTGAGGGAGAGTGCTGATCCCTTCTCCAGAATAACTGCAGGTAGGACAAGAGGAACTGACCTCAAGTTGCAGCGGAGGTTCAGGTTAGACATTAGGAAGAATTTCTACATGGAAAGAGTAGTCAAGCATTGGAACAGGCTGTCCAGGGAAGTGGTGGAGTCGCTGTCCCTGGAAGAACCGTGTAGATGAGGCACAAAGGGACATGGCTTAGCAGGCAGGGTGTTGAAGGGTTTGTGGTTGGACTCAATGATCTTGAAGGTCTTCTACAACCGTAATGATTCTGTGATTCTGTAAAACCTTCATTCTTCAGCTGTGAATGTGAACATCTCTTATTTATTCTTAGGGCTTTTATGATACCTATTATCAACTAAGGCTAATATCGTATTCCAGAGTGTAAAGTTACATGGTATAAACATGTTTAAAGAGCTGGAAACTTAGGTGAAACAAATTCTATTGTATACGTTTAAGTAACTGGATGTATGTGCTCCAAATACGTGCATCAGATCAGATGGCCACACAGCCTTTGCAGCCAGAGGGAGATACATGCTTCCTGTAAGTGATTCATCTTTCTCTGAGAGAGGAATCATGTGAAATATGTCCTAAATTGCCTTCTAAACCCCACTGAGTTTCTTGGCGTCCACAACATCCTGCAGCAAATATTTTTCACAATTAATTGCTAAATAATCACTTCCTTTGGCACTGCTCCTTCTTGTACTATGAGAGTCAGGAGTTCACTTTTCCTGTGCCACTAATAATTCTGTAGACCTCTCTGATACCTCTTTTTCAGTTCCATTTGAATGGAGATGGCTGGAGTGGAACTACATGTGTCACTGAAGATGCCAGCTGCCATGGATGTATATTTTAGCAGGTAGTGTGTGTAGATGTGCAGAGCATGTGCATATAGCTCCTGCTTTTCTATTGCTTTGTTAATAATTCCAGACATTTAGCTGATGTTTTCATACAGTAGACTATCATCATTACACGATCTGTGGTGTTTGTTTTCGCTGAATGGTAATAGTTGATTTAGTGTCTGCTACAGTGCTTATAATCTTATTTTTCTATACATGAATAGCTATATCTCTACCATCCCTGACTTTATCCAGCAGTGTACTACATTGTCACTGTCATGAGATCCCTCTGTATCTCTTTATAATTGACCTTTTTTATAACTGCTCTGAAAAAATGTCCAGCATCAGAAAATATCATGGGTTTACCTTTTCCCCTTTCTTGCTCATTTGTTAAACAGCATGAACCCCGGTATAGATTTTCTTTGTAGAAATTCAAGACTTACCTTTACTGGCTCATTGCTTATAGAATTCTGAAAGTTAGTGCCCCAGGGACCTCACTTTGTGTACTCCATGTTTCTAAATCCCAAATTATTTGTTGAATTTATGCTCTCTTGCCTATAGTGCCTACAGAACGCTTCAGTTACTCTTCAGTGTTCCTGCCTTGTGGAGTCAAAAGCCTCTGTGAAACTTTGGGTGAGATTTTAAATATTCTAGTTAAAAAAAAAAAAAAAAAGATTTATGAAGGCAACAACAACATAAGGAAAAACAACCCATATATGCTGTGTGGCTGCTGTTTGTGCTTTAGCCTGTGATTAACATTGAGGCATTCTCTGTAAGAGTTATGACTAAATAAAAATGAGAGTAAGGAGGGAAATGGAAAATCTAGGTTTGAAGATCACCGGCATTTTTACAAGATGTCTGCACATAGCTTAGTGTGCACTTCAGCAATCTTCAAATGTAAACTAAAGTAGAGAAACAGTGACATCAATCCTGATCTGAGAGGAAGAGGTCCAAAGAGTGGAATTTGTATGGCTCGATGAGATAAAACTTGTTTCTAATCATATCTTTCCATTGTGTTTTTGAAGATGAGAGAGGCAAAGATCTAGTGATATTAAGTTTGAAGATAGGAAGAGGGCAGCTTTGAATGGATTAAGAGGAGCAGGCCATAACACTAATATTCCTTGATGACTTTGCTGTGATTGTAACACAGGAATTTTGGAAGCCGCTTGATCCAGCTTAAGTTTTGTATCGCTAGAAGCCCAACCTGGGGACAGAGCTTCGGCTGTGCTGCTTTGCAGTTTGTGTGTTTGTCAGTAAAATGCTCTCTTGGGAGGAGGAAAGTTTTATTCCTCCGCTAAGCATGCGGTGCTTATTTAGTTTCTTACACACATTTCTTTCTCACTTCACTTATCTCTAATGTTGATGCCAAACAGAACCTGTGTAGACACTGTTGTGGGTTGGATTTGTCTTATAGGCACGCCAGGTTAGTAGCACAAGCTTGTTGCTGTGTGTGGAGACAGGTAGGAGTTGTCCTCAGAAGGTATCTGTATGTCTCCTCCAATGAAAAACGGAGCCCTAAATGACTACTGCAGACATCCAGATTGAGTGAAATGAATCTCACTTTCTGGCTGATATTTCTTAAGAAATGCATAGAATATTTTTGGTTTCAAGCTTGATTGGATGCCAGAGCTTTCTGGGAATGTTTAAATTAGTCCAGGATAAACAGGGGGAATATTTTGGAAAAGCACCTACTGGAAGTCAGATTCTTAGCTTTATTACATGTCATTTATATATTAGAACAGCATGTATGTGATGAAATACAGTATACATACACCAATAAAAGGAAATGCTGTATTCCATCACTATAATATTGAGAGAAAGAGTTCAGCAAAATGTCTAAGGGTTAGATTTACCAGGAAAAAGAAGACATGCCCAGTTAAATTATATGGGATATCAAGATGGACTAATGCAGCTACATCTAGACCAATGGCCACAGGAATTTTTGCTGTGGGGGATAAGTGTTGTGGAGACTAAAAAATAAGTTAATTTTCTACAACTTGGTATGAGTCAGTCACTGAATGAAACAGAATGAAAATACTTTAATCCAGTGGGTAAGCTATTTAATAATTAATAAAAGGTCGTACGTTTTGCATGTTTACCCTGAGGCATCTGGTGCTGTCCTCTGAGATGGAACAAGGGAACTACATAATATGTGGTGTAGCTCAGATACTGTGTGTTAGTGCCTACCAGACAGACAGGCAGGCCATGGTCCTGCTAGTTGTTTGGAAACGTTACTGGTGTTTCTAGCTGCAGACGATTTCAAAGCAAATCATGAGGTTAGTTTAAGAATTATGAAATTTAAAGAAAGATACTGATTTGAACTAATCACTTCAGTGTTTGAAAACATGAACTTTACTGATGCAAAGTTTTCCACTCTTGATAAGAGTACTGTACAGCATCAGCAGATTACAGGAGTAGCAGCTTTAAGAAAAAGACCAAATATTGCGAGATTCTTGTGACCAGTGGTTAGGAAAAGTACACTGACCTAAAATATTAATAAAGGTTTAGTAGAATCCTTTTTGACATTGAGGAAAGCAGAAAGATGATCTAGTTCCCGTAAAATTCTGAGAATCTTACTTTTTGTTTTCTTCCTTTTTTTTTTTCAGATGAAAATACTGAAATGAATTTAGGAACTTTGATGCTTTCAAACATTGAATTTTGGTTTGGTAAATGACCACAAGTAAGATACTGCCCAAACAAGCTGATATGACTTGAAGACCTTTGGTTCTACATTCATTCCTTCTGAAGCAATGGTTTTCTCAGCAATGTTGACACTGGCCCATTCTGGGACCTCGAATGCTACTTTTATTGTCTATGAAAACGCCTATACGAATTTTACCACTCCCCAGTTTTTGCTTCGTAGTGGCACCACACAACCATTGAGATACAGTTCGGGTGCTGTGCTCACCACTGAGAGAAGTACTTTTCTGATAAACACGACAGCAATCCTGCCATCGCAAGAAGTTTTCAGGAGCTTGAGTTTGCCACTCCAGATCATTCTTTCTGCTGCTATGATATTTATCCTACTGGTTTCTTTCCTGGGCAACTTTGTTGTCTGCCTCATGGTCTACCAGAAGGCTGCTATGCGATCTGCGATTAACATTCTCTTAGCGAGCCTGGCTTTTGCAGACATGCTGCTGGCAGTGCTGAACATGCCTTTTGCTCTGGTAACCATCATTACCACCCAGTGGATATTTGGGGATATATTCTGCAGAGTTTCTGCCATGTTTTTCTGGCTTTTTGTCATAGAAGGGGTAGCAATTCTTCTTATTATTAGCATTGACCGCTTTCTTATCATAGTTCAGAGGCAAGATAAACTGAACCCTTACCGAGCAAAGTTTCTCATTGTGATTTCCTGGGCAGCATCCTTTGTCGTTGCTTTCCCGCTATCCGTAGGGAACCCTAATCTGCAGATACCCTCGAGAGCACCTCAGTGTGTGTTTGGCTACTCTACGAGCCCAGGCTACCGAGCCTATGTAATACTAATATTGCTGATTTCCTTTTTTATTCCATTCCTAATAATGCTGTATTCTTTTATGGGCATTCTCAACACCGTCCGCCACAACGCAGTTCGTATCCATAGCCACCCTGATAGCATCTGCCTCAGCCAGGCCAGCAAACTCGGGCTCATGAGCTTGCAGAGACCTTTTCAGGTGAATATTGATATGAGCTTTAAAACTCGTGCCTTCACAACCATCTTGATTTTGTTCCTGGTCTTCATAGTCTGTTGGGCGCCCTTCACCACTTACAGCCTTATTGCCACATTCAACAGCCACTTCTACTACAAGCACAACTTTTTCGAGATAAGCACTTGGCTCCTTTGGCTCTGCTACCTCAAGTCTGCACTGAACCCATTGATTTACTACTGGAGGATTAAGAAGTTTCATGACGCATGCTTAGACTTAATGCCCAAATACTTCAAGTTTTTGCCACAGCTACCTGGCCACACGAGGCGACGCATCCGACCCAGTGCCATCTATGTATGTGGGGAGCATCGGTCAGTAGTGTAAAGCTGCAGCTGTTTGACATGATGATGATTTCCTTGGATTATTTGTTTTAAGCTTTGGTTGGTTTTTGTGATTGTTTTCTTTAATATGGCTCCTTGAGAATGGCCATGCAACTTGATTAAATGTTCCAGCGCTCTGTGCAATTTGGGGAAGGGAGGGACAGAGGAGAAATGATTCATTAGAGTTGGCTTTATTACCAGAGTACAATGTAAACGAAACAACAAATGTTACCTCTAGGATTCCGTGGAAATCCATTCTTTTAAACAAAAATTACAATTGTAACACTATGTCAGGTTTATGCTTACTAGGCCTGCAATTGCATCTGATTGTAGGGTTTTTATGCTGCTAAGATACAGTATATTTAGTTGATGTAATTTTTCTGAAAAATGTTGCTGCTGATTGCCGATATATTAGAGCCAAAAGGTCTCATTAGATGACTTCTATTTAATTTTAACAATACTTCAGAAGTGGTGATAGTGACACTAGAAAATGTTTTTTAATATTTCATTTTTTGTGCACTTTACAAAATTTGCTACAGAATTTGTTGGAATGTTTTCTTCTGTATCGAAGGGGTATTATCATTATTCATTATATTGGCGAGTTTTAATGAAAAACACATTTAAGCTCTAGGAGGGCATTTTTTCTTGGTATATTTACACTTACAGCCACAGACTCGCTTTTTCTCATCATTTGTAACTTTAACTGCTCAATTATTTGAGGGGTTGGAAGGAGAAAATGGGGAGATGAAAGGGAATGAGTATTGCTTGTCCTGAGGTTTAGGCTAATACGAATTCTAGACAAAGAGACTTCATGTGAAAATTGGCATAGGAGGAAAGGGTTGATGTGTATGATATTTTTGGTTATAAGAAACTCTCCAAATCTAATGATATTCCTGAAAGGTTATTCGAAATTAGGACTTGATGCCTAAAATTTACATTGCATTGGTGTAATGGTTTCTCCTTGGAGCTCACATTAGGTGAGGTATGCTCTACATTGCTCAAACTCTGCTCTCAGATATTTGTCAGAACAGGATTAGGGATATGAGGGCAAACCAGCAAAGAAACAGAACACGAACCATAGTTGGACTTAGTCTGCATGCAATCACTGGAAAAGAAAAAAAAAACCCAGAACTTGTTTTCCATTTTGTGTCAAACTACAGCTATAAGCTGGCAAGGAGGAAGAACAGCTGGCCAGCAGTTTGCTACCCATAGAATTAAGCTAAATTTCCCATTTTCCCCCCTCTGATAATTACTTTATGCAGATTTATTTTTTTCTGCTTTCCCATGGCAGTGCCTGCTGCCTCAGGGGTTTGCTCTAGTGGTCTCATGTATTAAAGATCAGCTTTTCTCCCTGAACCACCTCTCTGACTAATGTCAAGTTGTCTTGATACTTGCCTTGAAAGCAGAAAGTCAAAGGTTTTTCTTGATGCTAACCATCCAGTTTCCTAAATAATTGTATAATGAAAGATTCCTAAATAAGTATATAATGAAAGGTGAATCAAATTAAAACTTTGAGTTTGGGCTTTGGTGTTTGGTTGCTCTGGGAGTAGGGGAGGATACCTGCAGAACTTGTGCATATTTGCAGTGGGCTTTTGGGGATGTATGTAATTGAGAGGAGGAAGAAAACTGTATGTCCAATTTGGCCAGGGCAAGGGTTTAGGCTTCGCTTGGCTCCAGCTCTCCAGCTCTTTCCAGCACTCCAAAGCACAAGGGTCTCTGTTCTCTTCTTGTTCCTGAGGAGCAAATGTCTACAACAAGCCATGTAGGGGATCAACTGAGTATATGAAGGAGATGCTCTGTGATGTATGGATGTCCAGGGGTCGCTTGCCTTCTGGGGTCATCTAAGAAGTTACAGCCCAGATTTTATTTAGAGCTTCAGCAGAGAACTAATTTAACATTAGTCTGTGTTTCTTGCATTGAGAGCTTTTGGTAAAAATATTGGTTATAGTTAAATTCCAGGAGTATAAAAGGAAAATTCTTTAATTACTTCATTTAAAGAAAAAAAAATGCTTGCTCATACACTGTTAGTCAATGTTGTGGATTCACTGTAAAGGTACCCAAGAGACTATGGGTTTATTGATGTCTGTGCTTTCCATTCCTTGTCAATTCCACTGGTGACAATATGTTTTTTTGATCAGAATGGCAAGCGATAATGGAGTTATGCTGTAAAACAAGAGTGTTTAAGTGTGTCTTTGCAATAGAGCTTTTATTTTTCAATTATATTTACATGGATAGCAGAAGTTTATGACCCGGGTGATATGGATTTTCTGCTTCAGAACTGTAATTCCCTTTTATTTATCTTTATTATTGAAAGCAGCAAAACTATGCTTTAAACTAATGTAATACAATGGGAGTCAACACTGTCTGTGCTGGCAGGAGCAGGCGTTCTTGCTGTCTTCCAGAGCTATATACTATTAGACCTCGCTGCATTGCTGTAGACATACTATGACATTGAATCAATGTCATCAAACGTAGCGAATCAAGAAGGAAAGAAGATGAGTAATGCAGTAAGGTCAGTGAAATTACTTTCTCGAATAGGGAGGGGAAATGTTTGGGGAACAGATTTTATAATATCCAATTTGTGTTGCTGTGAAGTAGAAATTGCAAGTGTCAATGTTGATTTGTCTAAGATAACTTAGTGTTTACTCCCACTGTAGCAGGGTTTCTGGTCAGAGCTGGATCCGTTGAGGCTCAGAAAAGAGACCCTGTATTGCCCAAATCCAAAAGCAACTTAAATGGTGGTGCAGTATTTACACTTACCAAGTTTTACGGATGATCAGAGCATACAGTGAATAGAAGAATGTTCAGAAGAAAGCAAAAAAAAAAAAAGTGTCCTAGAAGTAACCCAGGTTAGTTATGTGTTTACAGAACTATTTGGCCTATCATGTCTAATATACTGTCTTTAGAGCAGTGCCTTGACAATTACCACTAAAGTCCTAGGATCAAGTTAAAGACCATGACACAGCGTAGTCTTGCTCTTTGCCATCCTGCCAAGGGGAGCATAACCTTGCCCACGTCTCTGGTGTCACCAGACACGTGCGTGCAGGACTGAGGCAATAAGGGCATTTTAATGGTCTTGATAAGGCAGGGTTTTAAAAGTGGAGATTAACTTGATTCTTCTTGATTCTACTGGGGAATTATAATCTTCCTCTCCAGAAAAGATGTGTTTTACTAAACTGTATTCCCTTGCATTAGATTATCGGAAGTCTTTGGTATGGAGTGTTGAAATGAATGTATCTTTCAATTATGTTGCAGTTTAACTTGTTCTGTCAAAGCATGCTGCTTTCACAACTTTAATTTGTACAAACCTATTGCTAAAATGGTTCTTTTGTACTCAAGGTTGTGTATTTTTGACATTTCTTGTTACTCATGTAAAAATATGTATATAGAGAAGAAAATTGTTTTGCTTCTTATTGCCTTCTGTTGGTTTTTTATCTTTGTATGCCTGATGGCTGTTATATTTTCTCTTATTTGGGCATATGCATAAATAACTGCCAGACTTCAATAGTCTTTCTGTAATCTTTTGAGATTTTTAGTTCTCAAGTCATTCATTAGTGCCCTCCTTGAAAGATATTCTGATTTATTTTTATGTGAAAAATAAAAATTCAGAGCACAAGTTCATTGTGGTTGGAATGGTGAAGAATTTCTTAAGTCCAGTTTTTCAGGAGCCGCTACTTTGCCATTATAAACTGGTTTGATCCTTTTTTGGGGAAGTAGTCATGTCAGATTTGCAGAAATCTTTAATTACTGTTTTAAAACAAGGTGTTAAGTAGAACGGTGTTGGGGTTTTTTTCTGTACATATTGCCCCTGTGAAAATACTAGGACTCATAAAATAAAAAAAAAAATAACAATAAACATTCTCCAAAAAAGCAGCAATAGTCTACTACATCGTTATACATATATATATATATTCACAACCTAAGCAAAAGACTTCATGAATTTAATGTCCAACTTCTAAACATTTTTTGTTTGTAAGTCAAATAACAAAGACTGATATGAACTGACTTTACTGAATTCTAGATGGTTCTTGTTTAAGTCAAAATGTTTTTGTGCAGTGAATTTACAAAATGGTCTTTTACCAGAAATTGTGTAGGGATATGTCAACATGTCTAAAATAAGAAATATAGAGAAAAAAAGAGAGAAAGGCCTAAGGAGCAGAAAAAGCTTCCTAAAAATACCATCTGAAGTAGGTGTGCTACCTTTTAGCTAGGTCTGAGTAATTAGAATAATCTTATTGAGCAGTAAATAAAACCGGCAGCGATACTGCATGATTCATTTCAGCACAAGACATTGACCTTTATGATTCAAGCACTGCATGTTTCTATGTGATGAGTTATTGCCCATGTCAGTAAAACTAAAAATGATCAGCATCCAAGCTGTTTGGGAGGAATTTTGCTAAGGCTATAGCAGAAATTCTGCTAGAATATTTCTGTTGAGTTATAAGGAGTTCGTGCAGGGTTGCTGAAAAGGAATGGGTATTTACAGTTGCTAGGGAATAGCCTTGCGCAAACAGGATAATGCAATTTAAGCAGCTGCCTGCATGCCTAATTTTGGAACTTCTTCCCTCTATTTCTGGAAAAAAAACCCACTTTCCTCTCCTTTTGCCCTCTATGTGTGCTGAGCTGCTACATTTGGGGTGCCATGCCAAGGGTAGGTATGGTGACAGCAGGAGATGCTGGTGCATGGGAGTATGAAAGGAGGAGGAATTGGGCAGCAAGTCCCACTCTCTCCCAGCCTAGGCACAGGTTGGAGCAGTGTGAAAGGCTGAGAGGAAGTTTTACCACCTTTGATTACAAGATTGGGGTTGCCAGGATGAAGCTGTTAGAAGCACTTGCACGTTCTTTGCCTCTAGTGTTTGTGCAGCTCCATGGTTCTTTTATCCCCCGAGTGTCACAGATTTTATGCGGCTTCTTCTGTCTGTCTTTTTGCAGCTGAGCTACAACAATCTATAGCTCCTTCACTGCTGAGGATGAATCCTGCAGTTGATTTGTCTCTCCTCATGAGTTCCCTGGGCACAGAAGCTGCTGGTCAACATCCAGTGGGCCTGAAGCTCCTCTTGCCTGCT